GGGGCATTCCGGCTTCCTCCGAAACGGAGGTGGATGTTGCTGGCGGATATTGTTAGTAAGAGAGCCCCTGTTAGTATCGGGTTATTAGACGTGGCGGGGAGTGACTGGCTCGCGTTTACCCTCGCTCGCGAGAACCAATTACCCCGAACGCCCACCCTCTCGCACCCGCTCCCGTTACCGTACGTTTGCGCGTCCCTTTTCCCCCAAGATCCTTCCGGTTGGCTTCTCCGTGGAATTCTTTGACGAACGGCCGCGCTCGTTTCCGCAATTAATTCGCGCTCGCGTTACCGATCCGCTCGAATTAATTAACGCGACGAAGCAGCGAGGAAGAAAAAAGGGAGCTTTCGTTACAGCGACGCGTGTAATCGTCGATTCGAGAGAACGCGAACCGGGAAGAGTTGGCCTCGCGTGCGCGAATCGAACCGGGGGGAGGGGGGGATCGTTCTCGTGGCAAATAGCGCGTGAAATCGCCGCTGTTGTTCGAGAAGGAATTACCCGGAGATTCTCTTTCGCCTGCGCCCCCCGCGCTAATTCTTCCCCGTCGGCGCTTATTTGTTTAGCCTGGCAGGCAGCCGAGGAAATTGCCAACCGTTTCATTTACGGAATTATTATTTATTCTTGTTTACGACACGCTTAGCCGCTTATCCCGGTAGGGGCATTTTATCAGAGCGCGTTTATCAGCCACCGTTTCGAAATTGAAAATTGATGGAATTGATGAGAATCTGTGAAATTGAGAAGGATGTTCCGCGAGTTGTCTCTTGATGTACGAATTAAATAAAAATCCATACGACCAGAAAATGATGTGATATTTTTCATTGAAATATAGGAAAACAATCATGTGAACCATGTGGAAAAGTATTTTTTTTTTTATATTGAGAACGTCAGTGTCGACTTTAGCTTAGGAAACGCATAACGTCTCCCATACGATATTGTACGTCAAGAGGTTAAATGTCGCGGGTCTGACAAATCCAAAAGACATTGTCAGCGCAAGAATGTCAAACATTCACGATCGTTGAGTCATGATTTAGATTGTATCTCTTGTCAAACTCTTTTGACAATTCGAATAGGAAGAGAACACGCGTTCGCCAGATCAAGGGCTCCAAAGCGTCTAATCTAAGTCAAACTCACACATATTATTGTCCATCCGCGTATATCAAAACGGTCGCGGGTCCGTTTTTCGATAAGAAGACACCTTGAATCTTCCAGAAACGTCTGGAACGATTAGTGTTGCCAAGCGTTTATGATTGGCTAGGAGTCACATAAAACAGGGCAGTTTTCAATTAACCAACTAGTCTCAACCTATCGACAAGATAGTCTCAATTAATCAACAGAGAATTTCGCATTGTTATATAAGAGGTAGTCTCTGTCATCAATAAAGAACGATAATTTTCGATACAGTGACGATAATATCAAAGTGAAATTAATCACAGGGCAATTCACACGAGATTTGTGCGCGGTTCACTGTAATTAAAGTTCTATAAACATAAAGTCTCGTTATTGAGTACCTATTAACATTATACAGGCCGACACCGCGATTGCGCGTCATTTGTAAAATAGTGGTTAAGCACTTTCGCGTCATTTGCGATTCCAATTTTAACGTTCGTTTAAAACACATTAGTATCATGTATGTATCGTCAGGGAAATAGATATTGAGAATTCCGTATTGAATAATGAAGATTTTTTTTATTAAAAGAAATAACAGAATTTTTAAATTTTCCATCTCAGTTTGTATGTGAAATAATGATCCTTTGTTATGTACTATGTATCGCCAGAAACTCTAGCTTTCATAAATCTGTTTGGCATCCTAAGGGGAGATGTTTATTGCAACATTTTAAAAGAAATATGTTCGGTATTTGTTCATGACTATCCCAAGTATCTTTTCTGACGCACAAACGCTACTTTCACTTTACATTTCCGGGGGAAATTTCAGCGTTACTTCACAAAAAGAAATGTTCGGGGAAATATTTTGTGAAAGAAAATGATTAAATATACGTAATTAAAAATTTTTATTATTCACTTTAATTTCTTTTTTAGTACGCAAATTATGAAAACCTCTTCGTAGTAATGTAACAAACAATAATTTGCTTCAATTTCTATCCTCGTTCCACTTTCACAAAGTGGTACCCGACCGTTTGCGCATAGTTATGCGAAATATGGCCAGTGTAGTGTTAAGTGAAACTTGCAAACGAGACCGTATTACGTAGTACGGCCACGAGTCCGAAACAGACATATGAAAAAAACGCACCTTCGCGAGAATAGTACGCATTTTCACGACAAATACACATAATAACGGCGAGGAGTTAATAAGTACGCGACAGTATCGCTTGACGCTTATGGTATTTCACAATTTCCTCTGGCAGACGTTCTCGCGCAGCGAGCAGCGGTAAATTGTGCAGAGGAAACGAGCGGAGGACGTGTTTATACGTACGTTTGTCCTCGGCCGGCGAAGTACCTTCGCCAACCGGTGGCATTCCAAACAGCCGCGCCGTTGGAAAGAGGACAGCGTTGTACGAAAGAACGTTTCAACTTCTCTGGAACAACTTTCCTTTCCTGCCGCTGCTCCTGATGGACACTGCAGGAACGTGTCAGCCGCGTCTTTCCGCGTCGTTTCAAGCTTCTCTGTATACCACCGAGTGCAAACGAAAAGAATTATCATACGCGGAAACGACGCGACGAAAATTAACTCGCGAGAGCGCGCCACGCTGCGAGAAAAGGAAAACGAGAATTCGGCAAATCTCGCGGAATCCGTAAAGCTTGTAATCCGACGTTGTGAACGTTGTAAACTGGGGTAAGTAGCGCGAAGAACGCGTGACGTGGAAGAAACTGTTAACTGGAAGTAATTCACGAATGAAATTGTAATAAAATGCAAATGCATTTACATTGAATAATGTTTTTTGTTTTTAAATATAATTAAAGGAGTTAATACGTACAGAGAGTTGCACGCTAGTTATATCTCTGCCGCCCCTTCCCACTACACTTTAATCCAGCATTATCTAAAATTCATTTCGTCCGAAAAAAGCTCGGCTAAAAAGCTAACAACCTGAACAGTTTTGCACGCTTTTGTGTTCACATCAGAGTCGCGTTATCAGGATACTAGTAAAATTAGAAAAAGAGAGACAAAAAATGGCCGGTGAATATTCATGGGAATGAATGTATAAGCATGATATTTTTATAAATCCTTGTGAATAAGTTTCGCTGGGGAAATAAAAGTTTCCGTGGATACAGCATACCGAGGGGGATGCGAAAATTTACGAAGCGCAAAAATGTACGGTATGCAAATGACACGTTAATGCAGAAATAATAAATTACAATTCGAAGAAATGATCAAGTAGTGAAGGTTTAGTATTAATTTAGTTATTAAACGTACCGGTATTTTTGTAATTTAAAGAAGAAATTGGTCACAGCGCATCGAGTGTAAGTAGATCTACGACTATCAGAGAGTACATTGATACCACGTTTCACAAGGGAGCATAATGAAAGAGTACGAGGAGAAAATAATGCGTACTAAAACTAATACGCGCAAGAGGGTGAAGTTCAGCGATATCGTAGAACCTCCGGTAGCAAGTTACTTGCAACATTTATTGCGTCGTTATATAAAGTGATCGCAGAGAGAAAGAAAGAGAGAGAGAGAGAGGCTGAAGAGCTAAAGTTCGCGAGAAGCTAATAAAATTGATTCACAGGGGAGGGGAAGAATCCTGGCAAAGGAAAATGGAATCCGCTTAGTTTCATTCGTGGATTCAGACTAATTGCTACGTTCTCGAAAGAGACGAAACATTTGTACAGCGCGGCGTATCAGAAAATCGGAAAAGGGATCGGTCAATTAATCTAAGGTCAAGCTGTTCGATCTGTCGCGACTGTCTCTTCTCAAATTTCAATTCCTTCGTCCCAAATTAATCGTCAATTATTACGAAGACGAAGACAAAATTAAATCTCAAGTAAGGAAAGTTTCAATGAAGAAGGGAAAACCGTTGAATTCAAAGGGCAAATCAAAAGGTCTGGCAAGTTGGTTTGGAGAACGATTCGACGAACGTGTTCGAACTATTTGCAAAAGTGATTTTCAAGTCCGACGGTGTTTGCCGTGGCAAACGCAACAGTCAAGCCGGAAGGGGCGACGGGTTAAACGAACAATACGTGCTGTCGTTAACCTCTTGATTTGCTTGCGTATGACCCATCACAGTAAACAGCTCGGTCATCTATTGTGGACCACACTGAATTAATTAATCCTTTCATTAAATCTAGTGGGGAAACTCGTGCACGCTGCTCGAAATCTATAACGTGAGGCGCGCGCGCGTGCTCTCGTTCCCGGATTTAGCGCGAGGACTTTCATTGCTATAGTTTTAATCGTTCGCAATAGGCACGTAATGGCAGTGTTATTAATCATGTCCTCGGTGCTCGAACGAGACGACACGAAGCGGCTAACGAATGGGTTAGGGTCAGAGACGATCGATTTTCAGCCGACGTTTGCAAATGCGAGAGTAATTAGCTGCAACAGCGAAGGAGAATCTCCGAATCACGGGCCAAAGCGATTGATAATTTGAGAATTCGAACGGGTCGTAAATTTGAAGAATTTTCGTGGGAAATCTGAAATTTTTCTGAAATTCAGGAATATTTAGGAATATTTAGAAAACACCGATACTGATGATTTGAACAGAGAAAAAACGAGCTGTACAAACCCGTGCTACAATCTGACCGCGATATCGTTTCGACGTCCTGAAGTCTCAAACACCTGTAGAGCTAATTACACACGCTGTCTTTGAAACAATAATCGCCAGCAAGTCCGACGCACCGTGCCGCGATGGCATCGGGGGACACGCAATAACGTAAACGCACACACAGCGTAAGCTTGGCAAACGGTAGGTGATTTTCGCGAACGGACGTCGAAATGAACGGGGTGAACTTTCGGTTCAGCCAATATTGTGCCTTGTATCGAGCTACTCGAGCAAACAGACCGAGGCTCGTTATCGCAGGCGCCGCCGAATTAATTAATCCTTTCATTAAAGCTGCCGCGGAAGACCACACGGATGCCGATTGTCTGATCGTCGCTGCTATGTCGCACGGAGAATCGGGTTTCCTGCATACGACCGACAACGTGTACCCGGTGGACATGCTGTGGACTCCCTTCCTCGGCGATCGATGCCCAAGCCTGGCCGGCAAGCCGAAATTATTTTTCATTCAGGTCAGTTCTATCTCGTCAAGTATACTTTTCGTGCTCGTCAGACACTTTGGAATGCTCGCCAGCGTCGACGATGAATTTCTGTCAATTTCGCGAAACAACGACGTCGATACTCTTCTCTAATAACGCACGATTATGCGATCGAGCGTTCTAAACGGCCCGAGCTTGATCAAACAGTTCGGAACACCGCAACTAAACAAAGTCAATTGAAATCCGGCTGATGAACTCGCGTTCCATTTATCGTCAGCGTTCTGGGCGGTTCGTTCGAATTACTCGTCGGTAAACAAATGTTTGTGGTCGTTGATGGAAGACGAGTCCTAGAGTCTCGATTTACTTCTGCGATCTGTTTTTTTTTTTCCACAAACCGTCCACTCGCAAACGCGGTGTGAAAAGAAAAAAAGAGAGATCTTTTCAGGGGAGAGTCGGCGTTGAATCGATTTCACTTGTACAAAACTGTGTCACTGAGAACAGAAATCGTAGAAATTGCAACATTACGCGAACAAACACGTGAATTCCCCGCGATTAATTAAATACTGCCTAGTAATTAAATACCTTGCCGTAGAGGCTTCAATTTTTCAGGTTTTGAACGTGAAACGCTCCGCTTTCGCAGGGACATAATATTTGAAGAACGTAAATACCATGGATGTGGCAAACGTAAAAACGGGCCAGCAACTTCTGTTCATGGTTTGCATGGTTACTTAACTATGCTTCTCCCACGAGCGTTCAGTTTTTCAACTCTCGCAACCACGTATGTACTTCGCGTAAATACCTCGTCCATCGGGGTCTCTCTTCCCTTTTCGCGGCAACGTGGTCGCGTTAATTTTGCTAACGGTCCATGCGGATGCGCAATTAGAAGCGCAGGCGCGGAGAAATTTATTAATGAAAATAGCGCACGAAATTCTAACGTCACGCGTCAGTGATCTCTTCTGTAATAATCGAGAATCAAACGCGCAGAGTTATTCGATCCTGGAAAGATATTTTCCGAGCGATAAAGCGACAACGAGAGGGTAACGTAAATATTTCACAATGACGATGACGTAAATTCTGATTTCGTTTGCAATGTAATCCAAGTGGGATCTCTTTCCATTTATCTGCTTCAGGATGATCTCTCTAGGATTTGCAATGCGAAGCGCATTACGGCAGGCGGCGACGCTCTATTTTTTAGCTCCTTCGTGCTCCCGTGAAACGCGTGTATACAGGGTGGCTGTATCCTGACTAGGCACCGTGAAAAGTGTAACATATAATTTGTGTAATGTATCTAGGATACATACGTCGTTTTCCCATACGTAGAGCAGCGAGAAAACGGGTAAATTTGTTTTACTCGTAACGTGACAACTAGACAGCGGATTTTCGTGCGGAATCGTATCTCTAGGAATGTAATTAAAAATACACATCCGGACCTAGGTAGAAAAGAAAATTGTTTCACGTTCCAAATATCACAAAAAGCACTGTTTTCGTACATTTTTTCATACTGTATTTGCATCTTTAAACTTTTCATAAAAATCTGCGTACAAAATCGGCAGCTCAGTGATGACATTAAGTAAAGGCGAATCTAACAACGGTTTTATAGAACAAAATTTATTGTGGAATATTAAGAATCTCTTACAAGTCTTTAAAATAATAATTTTTTCAATCGAGTCAAAGATACATAATATGTACGAATATTCGTGGCCAGATAAAGGGACAAAAATGTTATTTTTCCTCGGGATAAAAATTTTTGACGAATCCCTTACCAGAGATGAATTAAGAATCACTACCGATATATTTTCATCATGGTTCATTCTCGCTTGGATCGAACATTCCTCGATGATCTCGAGATCAAGCAAACACTTTATATAGGCTGTTCCTACTTTTTCAAAGATTCTGTGAGTGAAAATAAGATAAAAAAAATATCACATAAACCATTCACAAGCTTGCGTCGCATAATGTGCAGGACAATCATCTAACTATCTACAGAAGTTTGTCTTCGCTCGTCAGAATCCGGGGAAAAGTAGAGACACCCCGTATATAGAATACTGGAATAATAACACTGGCCGGCAGAAAAGAATCGCGCAACGCGGCGAATAATTATCGCCACTCTCAATTCAAAGGGGGACAAAGCGATAACTGTGAAAAGAAAGTTTGTTTATCCAACGATGAATTGCGCTTCCATCTACGCCGTCATTGTCTCGCAATCCTCGCCGCTCGCCTTCCTCGCGCCGATAAGTATTCATACTCGGCCCCGCGAAATAACTTCCCACCCTTTCCGTTTAATTGAAACCCGCACATTCGAATCGTTTTCATCAGTTATCCAGCCGGGCAGTAAGATCACGTTTCCCCGTGGTATAATGAAACAAACCTGGCAAACAACAAACAAACCCTGCTTCAGTATGAATCAATTTGTTGCCGCGTAACGTTTTGTTGCGTTCGCAGCCGCGGCGTTTCACCCGCAATTACACCCGCCAGCTCGTATTAACGGGGGCGTTCGTTTCAATCGGTTATTGGAAATAACGGAACGGTTTTTCAGAGCCGGCAACAGAATCCGCGGAGCAAACTGGAGCAGCTCGGAGAAATGGAAACACTCGGCGGCCGCGCCTCGTGCAAACAGAGTGGCCGGCGACGTTTGTTTCGCGGACGAATTAAAATCTCAAGGCAAATTTCACGCGATGAACTTTCCAATGTATTAGGGTTATTCATAAGTAATTTCGTTCTTCGATACTGTGCAAAATTTTATTTTATTTAAGAGTTAATACCTAGTTTATTTAATTTAATTTAATTTTATTTTATTTAATTTAATTTACTTTATTTAATTTAATTTTATTTTATTTAATTTAATTTACTTTATTTAATTTAATTTTATTTATTTTATTTTATTTTTTTTTTTTATTTAAGAGTCAATACCTAGTTTAAATCTACAATACAATCTCTGAGAAATTTTCTATTCCCTTTTTGTGAAACGAAGGTGATTTTGAAGAATATTCTTCGAGTGCAGTTTTGATAGTTTAAAAACGATATTACTTGGGTGAGCTATAAGTATCGCTTGTTCTAATTCAAATAATAAAAGCGAGGAGTGTCCCTGTTATGATCAGAGAATGAACGTCGAGTTTGTCTTTTTTGCGGAGACTGTAACGCGTGCATTGCGTAAAGAAAGATGATGGCAGAAGTGCAGGTAAACATAATAACACAAACTTATCCCACGTGGATTAAAATAAACATAAATAAAGTTTATCAACTTAAGAATTAAAGAATAGTGAAAAAGTCTGAATAACGACGATGACTCGCTCTTAGGTCGTACAGGAAGAAGTCACCACAAAAGTTGTGAAAACTCCCACGCGAGTTTGGATAAACTGTTTTACTGTAGGTAGGTATCGTTATGGAAAGATCGTCACTTTCCTAGTCTGTGTATTCGGATAATACACGTAGGAAATCACGTGACTGAGACATCTGAATTTGAAGAATCGTTGTGTATAAAATTGATTGAAAAATGATTTTCAATATGACGGAACGTTCCACGGATTTCATCGAGAGCCGGAATCATTTTTGAAACGGAATGCTGCACGTTCTATGTACGAGGTTGGGAACAATTCTGAGTAAAATGTTTTTATCGGAATTCCGATTATTAGCAACATGTTTAAATAACATGAAACGAGCTATTTCGCCTCGAACAATATTGGATTCGCTTTTAATTCAGTTAAAGTTCATTTAAAATTCAGTACCTGCAAAAAATTGCATGTCACAAAGACATTTGTCGACGAACGAAACAGGATACGCCATTAGCTGTTGAATTTACAATCAACGACCGTAATATCTGTAAATGCATTTTCAGCCTGAATTCCACGCTCTTTCGAGCATTCTGTCACTTCTAGACTACGGTATGTCATTTAAAAAGGAGAAAAAAAAAAAAAAGAAAAGAAAGGAGCCGAGGACCTTCGATCCCCTGAAATGCATCCATCTACGAAGAAAGCACATACGTTACGGCATGAAACTTTTGTACACGACAATTTTTCAACCAACGCATAATTTACGAGTTACGCCCGGCGCGTGTAAGATAGACGCTTGTTACAAGTGATGGATCGTAACGGCGCGTTCGAAAATATTTCACAGCGGCAATAGAAATAGGGAATTTAACGCCGAAGAACGCGCGACGCTTTAAAAATATCCATAATTTCGAGGACATCGTCGCGGCCATCAGCGTAAACCGCCCAGAATTTTTCTGTTACTCGAACGGCAAAGTCGACTGTTTTCTCCGCCATTTCTTCGAAACGAAAGAGAGAGACACTTCCTCCGTTGCAAGAAATTAATCCCGGCCACAAAGGGCCGGAGAGTTCGACGATAGGAGGCACGTGAAAATTGAGGGAAACAAGCTCGTTCCCGCGAGCGGTGAGAGGCCACTAACGCTTGGCGTTTCCGGTTCTTCGCGACGAGTGGAGAGGCGGCGCGAGCGCTAACGGAAGTGGAAAAGACGACATAGTTAATTATCCGTACGATGTTTCAAAGGGACATGAAAGAGTTTTATAGTTGACGAGGTTACTTCACAACTCGTTTAACGAGCTCTTCAGTACGTGTCACGCTGCGAGTGCACCACGCACGGCATTAAGCCGCGGGAACATTCGCCGAGACGTGATTTAATTCGCGAACAAACACGTGAAAATGAAAATGATCGATGGAATATATTTCACAGTCGAGTCAGTGACAGTGAAAATTTAATTATCGATATCAATATCGAGTTTAATTGAAACTGAAGAAGTCTCACTTCGACACACGCAATCTCTACTTTGACTCTACTTTTGAGTTTTGAATTCGTGACTTTTTTTCTGTTCCTTTTTTTTTTTTTCAAAGATGATTTTACATCGTGTAATGGGTGGGATGCTTCTTTCTTCAAAATTGTAAACCATTGAAAGATTTCCTTCGTGACTAAATCCACCATCGTCTTAAAGATTGAAGTTTTCTATTGAAACTTGTTGTGCGATCTTTTCTCGCCGTTTTATTGAACGTTGAATATTGAACGATAAAAATTCAAGAAATTCGAACATTTCGTCAACTAAAGCCAACGTTCGAAGTTCGGTAAAATGGTGAGAAAAGAGAAAAATTCTAGAGAAAAATTTTCAATCTTCAAGACCATGGATTTAGTCATTTAAATTTTTACAATTTCCTACTTCATTTTCCCAGCTACACGATATAAAATTATCTTTCAGAAAAGGAAAAAGAATAACAATTCAACATTGTCAAAGTAAAGATATGCTTCAAAATGAGATAAATGGTTACGGTTTAATTAACTTTTCTCAAAGTTACACGATTTTACATTTATATATTTTTCATTTTAACTGGCATAATTATGCTACTCACTCTATCTGCACGATATATTATGTAATATAAACTGTGATATTTGTGTCATATATTATGTAATATAAACTGTGATATTTGGATACCAAAACTCTACAACGTCAAACAAACTGCAAAATATCCAAAAGAGAGGAAACAAACAAAGTAAATATGTAAAATACTAATCACTTAGTAAAGTAAATATGTAAAATCGCATAAGCATTCGTCAAGCTGCAACAAAAAAGAAGCCACGCGTTCCAATCAACAAACGTACGCGGAAGGAAATCGTATTTCAAACGCGAGAATCTAATACTCACGACAATGCTTTCGCGCTGCGCGTTTTACAACATCGCAAATGGAGCATTTGTTTAAGGTCCTGTTTCGTAATAATTCAGCGCGTTTAATCCGGCGCTCCACGTGCGGGAATTCCATAAATCACGGACGTGGACGAGTTTTATCGACTAACAACCGCGGAAAATCCAAACATTTCACGGCTCTGTTTTCGCGTACTTTCGTCTCGTCCCGCGAAACATTTCGCGATCGTTCCGCGAATCTCCGGATTTCGAAATTGGACAAGTCCAAGCGGTCGGGGCCTGGTTTTTTTCGCTTCTTCGTTCTCCGCAATTTTTGTCGTCTTGCGCGCGATCTTTGCGAATCTTTCAGCTAAAATTTACGCCACGTTCGCGTGGTGATATATAGGAGAGGCGGCGCGACATTTTCACCGCCAGCGGGGAACGCCAGTTAAAAGATTGGAAAATAAGAAGGCGAGAGGACGATGGGATGGTGAACGAGTGGAAAAAGGACACGAGATTCCCGGAGAGCGTGAAAATTGTATCGAGAGAAGGGTAATACAAATTTACGGAATTCGCACGGGAAGACTGATTTTCAGAGGAGCACTGGTTCGCTAATGAAAATTGGTTTTCGGTGGGGAGAATGTCGATTTGAAATAACTCGATTGATCGAAATTTTGATACAATCGGACGCGTAACGAAGTAGATACGACTTTTGATTGATTCGAATCTCCCCGCGGCCGATATATCGTCTGGTTGCGCTACTGAAACGGCGCTACGCAGCTCGAAGACTCGGTTTAGAGCTTCAAGTAGCTCGGAAAATTTTTCTCCAATGCGAAACGTACTCAAATCCATTTCGATTCAACTAACGAGATTGAATTTTACGCGCGCGTGGAATGTATTTACCCGGAAAGGAAAAACCGTCCCCTTTTTGGAAAATCACGCCTCGATATTGTAGCAACTGGTTAACGTCGGTCGTAAATTGTCGAGAGAGCATTTATGACATCCGGTTGCCAATTCCGCTGCGAGTACGAGCGAGGACAGAGCTCGCACGCCAATTGCGCTGTTTCCGCAGTTAAGTAAAGCGTGATTTATGGCGGAGTAGCAGCCAGTTCGAGCGAATGATCCGTAACGAGGCTCCATTTCAGACGCGCTTTCTTTTTTTTTATTTATTTATTTTTTTCTCCAGAAAAAAAGTCCTACCAATTACTCTGGAATTTTTATTATTTCATCGAGTCACTTCGTTAATTCCATCTACGTACCTCCGCGAATACTAACTCGTTTCGTCACTGACGAACGTTATTCAATCCGAGGTAAGTATCGACAGATCTTTCGCGTTTCATCTTCTCGAATAAAGGAAATCTCGTATCCCGGATGAAACGAGAGGACAAAAGGGAACGTCGGCGAGTTACTCGATCGCTCACGCTCGTTTTCTTTTTCGCAGTCTTGCCGTGGGACGCAGCTGGACAATGGGGTGGAAATTATTCACGAGACGGACTCCACGTCGAATTACAGCCTGCCTGCCTACGCGGATATTATGGTCGCGTACTCTACTTATGACGGTGGGTAGATGTGTGTTTCGCACATTTTTTTCTCGCATTTTTAACGCGTCTGTATATATGTAAATGTGTACGTACACAGGGTGTCTCACACGAAGCCAACCACGCAATTTCCTTTCGAACTATTCGAATATATGCAGAAAAATATCTTATGTACGTTGCTGCGAGGGGGACATCATCTTACAGTGGTCATAAATCTTGTTTAGGTGGTCACTCTTCGAGATTTCAAGGTGCTTTTCTTTCTTTTTTAATGAACTTTATATTTTTGAGTTCACAGTCTTAGATAACGTTGACATTACATTCAAAAGCTTGCCTCTGTTGAGCATTCAGAGATCGTTCCTCATCTATGACATTCGAAATAGTGGCCTTTTTTCTAATTTATTCCCTAAACGACAATCTAAAGTAATTTGTTAGCAAACGTTGCTTATACGATTAGTCTCGAAATACTTAATTTTTTAGAAAACTCCACAAGAAAAATGCCTTGCAACTGTCGTTTAGCAATCGAATAAATCGGCGTATTGACGCCTAAAGCCAAAATTCGTAGCTACCATAAGATATCCCCCAAATAACGTAAGTTCCGCTTGAAACGTTTTCCTTTATATCGAATGGTTTTGAGAGAAAATTGTGTGATCGGCTTCACGCGGAACACCCTGTATCACAAACATTGGCGAACGCATTGCGTGGATGTTTCTGCTCGCGCGTGCGTGAGCAAACTTCTTATTTCACGAGCCGAGACGTGCAACAATCCTCGAGCTCGAGGTACGTGCTCGACGGGGGGGCCAAGTACGTTTGTTTTGTCGGCAAGTTGTCAGAGAGAGCGTGTGTGTGGGTGTGTGAGGGGGGCTGTTGTCGCGAATTCGCGTTTCAACGGGTGTTTGGCCCCTCAATGGGCGCGACAACGTGCGTGTGCAATTCGCTCTCCTGTTGTCTGGCTCTTGTCGGGCCTTCATTTGCAAGTCAATAACAGGAAAGAATAGGAGGACTATAAATTTCTACACTGGCTTTCGTTGTTATGTTCGCGGGATATTTGTACACGGTGTACGGACGCACGAGCCACGATGCAAATGCGTCAGGCAATTTCAGACGGGCCCCTTTTGGACTTTGTAATTAGAACGATGCGAGTTTCACGCGTTTCTGCAAATTACTGATGAATACCAGACGACCAGTCAAAGACAAATACGCGTATCTTACAAAAGGGAAATTATGCTTCGACGAGAAAGTCGGGTGAAAAGGAAGAAACTCATAAAAACCGGTCCTTAATGAGTTGCAAAGTAACGTCATTAAGGATTCTGAACGATTATCCTTTAAATTGATCCTACGAACGAAGGGACACGACAAACGAAACAGCAATCTCGGAGAATTTTTCTCAAGAACGGATTTCTTTGTACAATTTGCACTGGTAATTCCGCGAAAATTGTTTCCTGCAAATTCTACCAAAGGGATCTTTGAAAAGTGACCGCTGTCTAGGAGATATTACTTTTCTCATTCGTTTACTTCCATACAATGGTATACATATGAAAAACAGCTTTTCAGGTTAAATGGAAACCAAACATAGCGAGATAAAAATATAATTTTACATGGAACGTCGATCGATTAATATCCTCGTTTAAACGATCATCCTTTGAACTCTTCGTATTGATATTTAATAATATTTAGTAATATCACTCTCACAGAACTCACACTCGGAGTCATTGAAACACAGATGAAAAATAAAAGACTCATAAAATAGACGTCGATTTCATTAAATCAAAAAAAAAATAAATAAATAAATAAAGATAAAAATAAAAATAAAAATAAAAAGAAAAAAAGAAAAAGAGGAAAAAAGAAAAAATAAAGAAAAACAGAAATGAAGGTTGAAACTCGTTCAACTTGTAACGCGAAACGGTAGCCGCCGAATCGCCAGAAAATCCGAAATCAATGCGAAAACGCATTAGCAATAATTTCGGCTATCTTCATCTCGCGTAATCTGGCGAGAGACGCGTAACTGGTAATATCGGTTTATCCGATTTGGCCTATTTGGATTTAAAGGGTTAGCTGTGCGTACGTAACCCACAACCATAACAGGCCTGGTTATTTGGAACATTAGGCTTGGAGATGAGCGATCTATCGACATTCCGGATGGCTCAATTCATTGGAACAATCGGACAGTCGAAAGATCCGGCTTTCAGGAACTAATTCAGAAAATCAGTCGAACGATACTACTAAATACGACGTAATTCCCGTGGATTTTGGACGAGAGCGCGTGTCATTCATAATTTTCCATCGTTCAGTACCGTCGCTTGGAAACCGTTCGCAAAATTTCATGGTAAATTTTTTATTCACGAGCGAATTTTCGCATTCAAGAGCCGAGTTCTTAATCCTCCCGATCCCGCGAAAGTTAAATAAAATCCATCATCCCTCGGTTCGTGAATGTTTGAATAACTGCATTATTTCCATCGTGAAAGAGCGTGAAATATGTAAAACATAAAACATAACTTGCCATCAAATCGTGCAGTTGTACGCGATAGATGATAGCTGTTTGCAGTTCGAACGAATTAAATAACACAGGAGCACACGAGTTGACAGGCGCACACGCGACCGCAGTTTGCTAATTTCGCGCGGATACTCGGCCACGACAAAGAGCAAAAGGAATAATTCATGCCACCGTCCGATCCAATGTTCTTCGTCGGTGCTAATTTATCGGACGGGAGAATGTAATAAGCACCCGAAACACAAATTGCACGCGCGAATTATTACGTTAATTGCGCGTAACCCGCTTACAGCTATGATAAATATATACGTACGTACGCGCCCGATATGTCGCCGCGTACGTACAAAGCGTCTTTGTTGCCCGCTGTTTACCGAGTCGGTTGTAAATAACTTTCGTTACGATCTTCTTTAAGCCGCTTTACTTTTCGTAGCACATTTCCGCGAACGAACGAAGAAACGGGACTTAAGAATACTCGTTTTCGTCGACGACGACGACGTCGACGACGACGAGATTGTTGCCAAGCCTGGCTTGACCTCGCTTGACTTTGCTTGACCTGACATCAGGTGCGTCTTCCCATCGGCTCTTTCCATCTGGGACAATTAACCGGCCCCCGTTAAATATTGCTAGCGTAACTGGCCCCTGGCATTCTCATTTGTCGATCCGACGAACGCATAGTTCAGTCAGCCAGCTTGAGAAACACGCTGTGCACGCGAGACAATCGAGTGATATTCCCATCCCTTGGTGATATTGCCGAAAAATCATTTTCAAAGGACGGTTAGCAATGGTTAATGGAGTTAGCTTTATGTATTGGTTATTTACACAATTTAATTTGTCTACCGTGACGTGAAATTGACGGCGGCGGTGTGGGGTTAATCGCTTGTAATATTTTCCACTTCCCCTCCCTTAATGGAATTACGAAAAAACATTTCGGTGGATAGCGAGAGCCCGATATTGCAGAACGAATTTCGGGGATTGTGTTTTACGTTGGCAGGAGCACGGTGTTGACGAAATGTTATTTACGATGTGACAACACTGGCGGCACGGAGCGTAATGAAAAAAGCAAATGGTCAAATTTTCCGGCCATTTTTACAAATTTAGCACGTGGGAAATGAAAATTTCGTGCATTAGATTGCTGGCACTCTTCGCGAATGATAAAACGATGCGTCGCGCGTGCTGCTTTTTAACGTTTATCGCAACATCTCGCACTGACACGAGGAACGAACAAAGGTTAATGGAGTTGCATTTTTATTCGCACACCGGTTGGTTCTCTGGAAAATTTCACACGCACGTGGGAATGTCAACGACGAAAGCCTGTCGTTTTGTTTCTGCAAATTTTACAAATATCGCCTGGCGATGTCCAACGATACTCGATTGAACAGCAGAGAGGTGCAAGACTTTAGAAATTCTTTCGACGCAGAGAAAGCAACGTGACGTTAAATTTCATAATAACGGGAGCAAGCGTGGTATCACTCGTCTCTTTGAGACGATCGGATTATCGAAACGCTTGCCTCTCTGTCAAATAATAAAATTCCAAAGAATCTTAGAATACCAAGGTGGACAAGATAAAATTGTTCCATTGTTCCTAACGATACCTGTCGTACACTGGATACACCGAATACACTCAAATTTAACCTAGATTCTGTATTCGCAAATGCATTGAATAAATATTGAATTGCCCGTTGCCACGGCTCGAATGACCGCATTTTAATCGACTCGTTTCGTACGAAACGCTCTCGTACGAAAGACCAAGTTGAAAAAGTCCTCCGATCCGTCAGGGAAACGAGGAAGCAAACAGTCGAGGATATACGCGCACGGAGCGTAACTCAATCAAGCGATGGAAATTTATTGCGTGAAAATTAATTGAAAACTCGAACACGTTCGACCGCGTTGCTAATTACCGCTACGAGAATGTATAATTAAATAGGCGGCGGCGATGAAAATTTTGTCCCTCGGCGAAAAGTTGGCCGCATTGTGTCGCGAGAGTTCGGATAGTTTCTTCGATGGACGAGAAGAGAGAGGCAACGATCCATAACAGAGGCGATACTGTTGCGATTGTTCGGCGCACGCGACAGCGATACGACAGATTTATTGTACCGAGCCAGGCCCGGCGCAGATATCATTGACTCGCGTCACTGGCTGAACATCGATCTCCTTGACCGCGTCATCGAATCGACAGTGTAAAATATCGAGTGGCGTGTCATCTCGGATCGTTAACCGGTTGATTTGCATCGCGTGTTTAATAAACGGGTCCTATCGGACGAGGAAACAGACGGTAATATGGTCCAAAATTAATCGGAAATCATTGTACGTTGGAACTTTGTACGATCGGAGCGAATGATGGATTCTATCTGTCCTTCGAACGTTGAGTGCGTTGAACACTTGATTGCGGGCCAATCACTTTCCATTAAACTTCGAGGATGCATCGTCCACTTTTTTTCAGATGTTCTTTCGATAGAAGGGAAATTATCAGCGATACGCGTCGCTGGTCACAGAATATGTCGCGGCGTTTAAAGTGACATTCTTCGATAACTCGTCCAATTCGCGCGAACTTTTTTTGCGAAGC